CCTTTACTATAATTATACGTGTATCTTTGTATTGTAATTTCTAACTCGTATAACAAAGCATCAGTATATTCCTTATGCATCAATATGTATATGCCACAATAATGCAACTTCAATTATAATTGTTTGAAGATCAATGATTTTTACAAGATTTAAGAGCATTGCTCGGCCTTGTTCATACTTATTAATTCGTGTAACGAGAATTCGAATATGAAATATGCGTAAATATGCGTTGGTTACTCGGAATTACATATGCGGGAAAGGGAGCGAAAATATTCGACGTCTACGCCACTTAGCGGAAAATTAGCTTCCCTGCAGAAAAAACGACCGAGCCTCGCTATCATTCTGCTTTTAGTCAGCTTAGGCCTTCGATCGCTTCAGACGATAATCGTACGGAAAAGGTCGATCTCAGGCGAGTTCAATTGAACGAAGGTGTACCTCCGCTGGGATTAACGAGATGATCTTGCCGCTAGTTTCCATACGGTCATCGTTCAATTTTCCTAGGGCCGATATGAACGGAAGATTATCTTCCGTTCCTGATTTAAACATTGATTCCTGTGTCGGAACAAGAATACGTTACTCTGAGAACGTATTTGAGTCACGATCGTCCCGTAATCCTCGAAATATTCTTGGCTGATTACCGGTCGAGAAACCACGTCCTGATATAGGGCCTGCAGCAGGTTTGATATTGAATCACTCGGTAACCTGTAGTGTACCGCGGAAAAAACGACGGATGAGTTTCCCTGGTAAGGTACACCGTGGAATAAGGAGGTGTAGCTTGTGAGGAGATTGTCCATCGTATAGGGTCAGTCGGAGATTCGGCCTTACAACACGGGCTCCCACACCCAGCAGAAGTAGCTGAGTGTGCACCGAGCAAGGAGCGATCCGTGGTCTCTGTTTCGGCGTAACGAATCAGTGCAATTTCCGAGGCTCTCCTCACCCGATTACGGGTTAGTTGAGAAATACTCGAAGCGAGAGTTTACTCTCGATAATTTAAATACAGTCCACTTTAGTCGTTAAGGAATAGAATTTAATTTGGTTCCATTCTTTTTTTTTTGTTTGATTAAATCAATCGATGCTGACTAGTTGGGAGCAATTCTGCGGGCTAAGGACACTCGGGAGCGAACTCCCCGCTACGAAACACAAATTATTTATTTGCTTCGTATTATACGGTGATTGGGGAAATCGACCGCCTCGTGATCGGTTTAATAAATTTTTGATTTTTAATTCCAAATTGCAATAACTTTTATTTATTTTGCGTACCCCGTTTCTCCTCTCCTCTGGACCCTGTTAGGCTCGCTCCTAACAATAATTAGTACTGAATTCTGTATTAAAGTTATTTTGAATTGTGATAACGAAATAATAGCTTTTCCTCTATTATATATTTTCTGTCGCATGATCTCTAATTTCAATATGCAGTATTATTGCTTCAAATTATATGAATCAATTATTTAAATTTTCTGTGGGAACGTTCTATTTATACTAGACACAAAGACTGCATAAGAAAGAGATAAAGTATTATGAAGTTCGTTCATATTAGAGAATTTTCCTATCACATGTCACATTCATGAAACGTATAAATTGCAAATTTCATTTATTGAGTTCACTACAAGGTCGGCGCGACGCAGGTTCTGCGCGTTTGCCGGAATCCGGCCTCGCGTTTTGAAAGGCTCCGCGGTCTACGAAATCTCATCACACATTTTGCAGAACCCCCTATATAATACACTGAATATTGTGCGTTGAAAATGGAATCGCATAATCCACTAATCGATGACAACTTGCTGCACATTAACATGAGTGCAAAATTTTCTCTCTCGTCTTTGCAGTGAAATATTTCGTTGCAGCGTGTCGCAGACGATGGCATTAAATGTTGACATCAAACGTTGGATCATCTGCAACATGGGTGCAGGGGACATTAGATATTAAGAAAAGTGCCCAATTAGAAAAGCCCGGTTTTGATTAACATTTTACACAATGATGATACAATAAACAGATGCAAAACGTTTTTTTAGTAAAAACGATTTACAAATTATTCTATATAAATAGTTTTTGCGAAAGTCATATGAA